GTCCCCAAACTGCAGCTCTGAGGGTGGGATGTGGAGCTGCTGGAGAGCAGGAAGCTCTGCAGAGGGATCTGGACAGGGTGGATCCATGGGATCAACACGCGTCAACAAGACCAAGTGGTGTGTCCTGCTCTTGGGTCACAGCAACCCCCTGGAATGCTCCAGGCAAGGTTCCAGAGAAGGGAATGGAGCTGGGAAAGGGGCTGGAGCACAAAGAGAAGAGGCTGGAGAACTTCTGAGGGACTACAGGGGCTCAGCCTGGAGAAAAGGAGACTCAGGGGAACCTTCTCTCCGCAACTCCCTGCCAGAAGGTGCAGCCAGGTGGGGTCAGGCACTGCTCCCAGGGAACAAGGAACAAGATGAGAGGAAACACCTCAAGCTGTGCCAGGGGAGGTTCAGGCTGGATATCAGGAGGAATTTCTCCATGGAAAGGACTGTCATGCATTGGAATGTGCTACCCAGGGAGGTGGTGGAGTCACCATCTCTGCAGATGTTCAAGTAACAACTGGACGTAGCACTCAGTGCTCTGCTTTAGCTGACAAGGTGGTGATGGGTCACAGGTTGGACTTGATGATCTTGGAGGTCTTTTCCAACCTCAGTGATTCCATGATTCTGTGTCCCCTGAGCCAGGCAGAGCTGAAGGAGCTCCCTCCCAGCTGTTAGTGGACAGTGAGGACCTTCAGGAGCAGGTGGAGGTTTTCCTGCAGCATGGAAAAGGCTGAGGGAAACCAGCTCTGATTCTGATGAGGGGAAGGATTGATCCTAAGGGCTGTGGGGAGGCTGAACCAGCACTGACTGGGACCTGAGGTTGATGTGTGTCTCCCCTTCACTTTGGGAATCTTGTACCTCCCTGACTGCATCGCAGGAGTGATCACACACGATATCAACACAGTTTGGGGGTTTCTCCCATCAACAGTTCTTGCTTTTTCAAGGAAAATGGAGCTGTGTGGCTCGTGGGGATCTCTGGGAACACCTGCAGGGAGAACACAGCCCCAGATCTCCATCCCACCAGGAAAGATGTGCTGGTGCAGCATTCCCACACTGCTGTGGGTCATCCTGCATGGAGCAAGACTCACTCCCACCTGTCTAGCTCCAGCCAGTCCTGGCTCCTGGAATGTATTTGTGCAGGCTCCAGGAGTGTTCCTTCTCTTTTTCCAGGTGACCCTTGCCAAGATGCGCTCCCACGTCTCATCCTGTGCCAAGGTGCAAGAGCAGATGGCCAACTGCCCCAAGTTTGTTCCAGTTGTCCCTACATCCCAGCCCATCCCCAGGTAGGGTAGGGAAATGTGTCCCTCCTTGCATGCCCTAAAATCCAAGCATGTGATTTTTTGCTTTGGGCAATTCCAGGGAGGAATATCTACACCTTTTACCTCCTGGCACTCGTGTTTCGGAGCATGGGGTGGGATGAAGGACCTACCAAACCAAGATGGTGGGGTGGGAGTGGGCTGGGCTGGTTTTGCTGCCACAAAGCTGAGTTGGGATGGTTTGGAAGGAGCCAATCCAACTGACTCTTGTCGGATCTGAGCTCCTCCTTGTTCCCTGCAGCAACATTCCCAACCGCTCGACATTTGTTTGTCCATACTGTGGTGCCAGGAACTTGGACCAGCAGGAGCTGGTGAAACACTGCATGGAGAACCACAGGAACGACCCCAACAAAGTGGTGAGGGCTGCTGGGGCACTGGGAAGGGCTGGAATGTGCTGGGAAATGCCTGGAGATGCAAGGACACCACAGCTGGTGCAGCATCCCAGGCCACTGGTGGGTGTGTCAAGCACAGCTGTGTTTCCTTGGACCTGCCTTTTGTTAGAGGCTCCCTGGGATGAGCTGCATGCTTCCTCCTGTTCTTGCCACCCAGGAGGTGCTGGATGTCCTCTCCCTGTCCCCTCTGGGTTAACCAAGATGGGGAGCTTGGGATGCTCAGCACAGGAAGGACATGGAGCTGTTGGAGTGAGTCTAGGGGAGGCACCAAGAGGATTAGAGGGATATGGAGCATTTCTCCTATGAGGAAAAGCTGAGAGAATTGGGATTGTTCAGCCTGGAGAAGAGAAGCTAATGAGTGACTTATTTGTGGCCTTCCAATGCCTGAAGGAGCTACAGAAAGATGGAGATACTTTGGACAAGGGGGAATGGCTTCACATGGACAGGGGGCAGTTAGATGGGATATTGGGAAGGAATTTGTCCCTGTGAGGGTGGAGAGGCACTTGCACAGATTGCCCAGAGAGGCTGTGGTTGCTCCATCCCTGGAAGTGTGCCAGGCCAGGTTGGGCAGGGCTTGGAGCAACCTGGGCTAGACAAAAGTGTCCCTGCCCATGGCAGGAGATGGAATGGGATGAACTTTAAGGTCCTTCCAACCCAGAGCATTCAGTGATTCCATGGCTCCATGAACTTGCAGTTCTGGCACCATCCTAGAGGTGCTTAGACCTGGACCACGTGCCAGAGGCTCTGTGCACCAAGGTGGGGCTGAGGCACCCCCTGGTCAGCTCATTCTCTGCCTACAACCCTCTGTCAGGAATGGGGGGACACCACTCACCTCGCTGGGAGGCACAGGCAGAGGGAGCTGTGCCCAGGTGTCCCCACTGCCCTCGTCCCTGTCCCTGCAGGTGTGCCCAGTGTGCTCGGCCATGCCCTGGGGCGATCCCAGCTACAAGAGTGCTAACTTCCTTCAGCACCTCCTCCACAGGCACAAGTTCTCCTACGACACCTTTGTGGTGAGTGCAGCCCTGACTCCCCCCCAAAAGTGACCTTCTCACTCCTTGTGTGGGGAAACCAGCCCTTCCCATGCCTGGATCATCCCATCCCTCCATGCAGGAGGGGAAGGGGTTGGATCCTGCTTTGTGCTCCACTGTACCCCCCCCATGGGATCCCCCTGAGTGTTGGGCTGTGCTTCCCCCCAGGGGTGCTGAGCTGGTTGTGATCACACAGGAGGGGGAGAGGGGAATGTTCCTGTTCTCTAGGAATATGAGTTGTTCCGTTAAGCTCATTCCCTAAGGAATTCTAACACAAAAAGCCTTTTCTTTGAGGTTTCAGGAGCAGTGGGAGGGGACTAGCTCAGGGTTTGAGGGGGGTTGGCTGCTCCATGACCCCCCCAGGGTGTCCCTGACCCCTCCTGTGTGGGGGTGAGGCCACAGTGACTCAGGGAAGGTTTGTTCCCATCCTGCTTTTGTTGGAAAGTGGATACATGTGAAGGAAAATAACTTCCAAACATTTCCAGAGGAATCTCCTGACACCAGGTACAATTGCTGTGTTGGATAAACCCAACCTGGAGTGCTGGAAAATCCTTGCTGGAAAGCTTCAGCCTTTGGCCACAGCTTATATGGGCACGTTCCATGCTTGCTGCCAGGTGTAAGATGCCAGGCAGGAGAGGGCACAAAGGAGCATGGGTAACATCCATGGGATCTGTGGGCACAAAGGACACCTCAGGGAACAGGGATGGAATCCCTAGGATCTGTGGGCACAAATCACACCCCACAGAACACTCATAACATCCCTGGGATCTGTGCCAGA